GCGGATCTCTTTGAGTTTGAGACCAGCCTGGTCTACAAGAGCTAGTTCCTGGACAGCCTCCAAAGCCACAGAGAAACCCTGTCTCAAAAAACAAAAACAAAACAAAACAAAACAAAAAAAAACTGGAAACTTTCTGTTAATCTATTATTATTATTCACCATCTTTAAAGCCAAGGTATAGTAGGAAAGACATATGAGGGCAGTTAGTCATATTTAGTCAGGTGTATTTTGGCCAATGGTGGCCAGGCTACCTGTTTGACTCTGATTTAAAATGACAGTGTAAACAATCTTCAAGAGTTTCTAAGTTCTCTAGCAATCCTACACCTTATTGTGACCCTTGGGTCAAAAACAAGCTCAAAATTATGTCTGAAATGTACTTTAGAATAAAGAATTGTTTTCTTTTTTTTCCATCCTTCAAGATCAACTGTGGAAGGTGGCCAAGTGAACAGTGAATTGTGTACCTCTAAAACTATCTAAATGGAAAACTTCTGGTTGTTCTTCTGGATCCCACTTAATTTTTCTTTCATGTATTCAAGATGAAGGTACATGAGAAAAGAAAAACCAGGAGACACTATAAACTGCACAAAAGTGATGGCCAAACTCACCTTTCTTATGCAATAGACTCTGATACGAAGTTCAGAATCCAGTATAGTTCATTCCTATAGAGGCCATTCATTATTGTTTAGCTCACTTAAATATGCCCAAAGCACTTCAACAGGGTACATAGGTAAGCAGCTGGCCTCTTGGGACATCTTTAGAAAACCTTCCATGTGGACACTGTTGTTTTATTATACTTCTATTATTTGCTGGTTACCCTCCCCATAGTAGTCCCTATTTGCCTGCAGATGTTGCTGAAAGGGTTGTATTCTGGGTTATAAGAACAATTCAATGGGCTGTGTTAGTGTTTAAAGTACAAACCAACATACTTCTTCATAGCAGCTCTAAAAAAAGTACAAATGGTAGGAAGCAGACTCAATGATCATCAGTCTTAGATGAATCACAGTAGACAAACAGACGCTGTATCACATATTTAGGTCAACAGCAGTATCACTTCATATCCCAATCTCATTTTTCCCCACAAAGAAAAATAGGAACTTTTTCTAAACACAGCATCTATTAGTGGGAAGTAGGTGATATTACTTGTTAGTACCTCCAAAATGTGCTTGGTAAAAAGATTAAAATAGTGTCAGTCTGAGACATGTATTGACACTAGGTAGACAAATGGAATTATTCCTTAGGAAAGGAAAACAGACATCACAGGATAAATAACTCAAAAAGAGCCAGGAGAAGCCTAAAGGAAAGCAAAGCCACTGCAAGTGGTAGTTGTCTGGTCTGCTGGTGCTCATCCACAACCACTTGCTTAGAGGTTTTGGAGAAGAAACTATCAAAACCACTCCTAAAAAGACTCAGCACTATTGCCACACATTCAGTCAATTCTAGCTATACACACTAGGTCATTCCTCAGTTTACACATGAACTCTCAGTCCTTAAGCTGAGCACAGCTTGGGTCAGTTTACCTGCATCCAGGACCTGTGTTGCATCAGGTTGTGGTTGACAACCTTTAGAGTCTGTGACTGTTGTACATGCAAAAGAATCAAAATCCACTGTGAGGTCTTGCACATTCCTCTCATTGGCATTATCAAAGCTGTTTTTGCCATGCAGCTGTTTAAGGTGTTTCCTCAAAACTGGCTTATGTGCAAAAACCATGTCACAATAGTTACATTTATGGGGCTTATCTCCACTGTGAAGGTTAAGATGGTCCTGTAAGGAACACTTCTGAGAAAAGGTTTTCCCACAGATTTTACACTGGAAAGGTTTAATTCCGGCATGTACACGCATGTGTCGATGAAGATTGCCTTTCTGAGTGAAAGTCTTGCCGCAGAGAAGACACATAAAGAGTTTGTGCATTTTTAAATGGTTGGCGTAGTTCTCCAGGTGACGGAACACCCTGGTACACTTTGGGCATTGGTGATGCCACTGTAAGCCTTTGTCTACACCTCGAATATTAGGCCCAAAGACATCTTTTGAGGTCATGATGATGTCATCATTGCCTGTGTAAGAGAGGGCATAATTGTGGAGATGGCTCTGGTCTAGTTCACTTACTCTGTTTTCCACAGTTGAGTTTATCAGGGAGTGCTGGGGCTCTGATGAATGCAAAGCAGTGGGTTCAGAAGAAATGTACTGGTTCTGATCTTTTTTACTTCTAACCTCTGAAACATCCCCAATAGATTCTACCTTAACAATCTGAATATCACTGTCCTCCATATCCATACTGTCTTCAGATGGATGAATACAAGGTAAGTCCTGCTTTGGAGAGCCTCTGGCATCTCCCTGCTGTTCTTTCGACTGGGGAGAAGCACTCTGTGGTTCACATCCCTCTTTACTATCCATTGGTTGTTTTGGCTTTATAAACTTCCACAGCGCCTGTGTGCATCGTTCTACAATGTGGCTCATCTGAAGAAAACTCGCAGCAGTCAAGTAATTTACCAGTTCCATCTCAGGGAATTCCAGCACACCACTATAACAGGATAAGAGCAATTGTCTCCCCACTTCAGAACTCTGTAATATGGAGATTTTCACCTCTCGGGAATCATTCAGTAAAAACTGGTCTCTTAAGAAGGGGGAACCTGCAGCAAAAACAATTTTATGCCCTTGTACCTCAACATCATCTATGAGAACAGTAACATCACAAAATTTATTCTCTTCTCTTAATTTGTTCATTTTTTGTAACATTGAATCTCCATAATTTTCAAACTTGAAGTGAAGGAGATCTGATCTTTCAGACATTTTGGCAGACCTAAAGAACAGAAATGTAAAAAAGGTGGGATTTAAGAAAATTTAAGCAATTTAGAAACCTGGATTTACCTTTCAAAACCAAATGTGTTGTCATGTTTTGTAAGTATCAAAAAACTTATAATAACAGCTTTCAAAGGCCATTAAAATTTTTTTTTTTACCAATATCAGGTACCAACTGTACCCACAGAGTAGACATATAGAAGTGTAAATAACTGGGCATTTAGCTAACTTTTAAGAGACTTAATACAAACAATGCTCAAGTTAGTCCAAGAAGTTTATTTTTCACTTCTCAAATGAGAATTCTATTGGTTCAAAAGAAAACATCATAACCTAAGTAACAATGAAGAGATTATTCTTTTGCATGAAAGAAGTACCTGTTTTTTTCCAAAACAAAATTCTCTTTTCTTTCATTTCCTATCATATTATTGTTTTGCCTGTATGCATATATATCTATGTGCCACGTGTGTGTCTAATCCCCACAGAGGCCAGAAGATGGTGCCAGATTCCCCAGAACTGGAGTTGTCAATGGTTGTGAGCTGCCATGTAGACACTGGGAATTGAATTGGAGTCCTCTGAAATAGCAGAGTGCTCTTAACCACTAAGCTATCTCCCCAAGCCCTTTATTTTAGAGTCTATAGGGGCACTGCTTGATGGGAATTGCCCCCCTCCTGTTTTGGTTTAAACTGATATGAATTTATTCATATAAGTATTTCTGTGATGAAAGTCACAGACTAAGGAAATGGTGTTTGTTCATTGACAAAGGCACAATTCTTTGTCATGTACATTATGGACAAATCTAAACTCTCTTGTAAGAAACATTTCTTTATATGGAGAATAAAACAGTATCAGATGAACCAATCAGTGGGGCATGAGTGGGAATAGGAGCAGATTTAATACTTATTAGATTGTTCTTTCCTTCTTACCCAGATGTGCCCATCATTTCTCATGGGGACTACTAGAAGTAATTCGTAAATGTTTACCTTGGATTCCAACTCTTCTCTGAAACTCAACTTATATAGCACATTTCAAAAATGATAGATTATATCTAACACATCTAAATCTCTTCAGTAACTTTCCAATGTCTCTTGGATGAAGGCTAACCTCTTGGTTATAAGTCATTTAAATAAAATTAATAAAGGTAAATATGGAATACAATCAACCACAAAGGTTTCTTTGCCAAAACTATGCATCGGGCTGAGAATATCTATATCTCAATAGATAATCTGTCTAGTCATTACGTGAAGCTGAGTTCAATCCACAATACTGTTAAAAATAAGCAATTGAAACTAATTCTGCATATTGTTCTGTTTCTATGCAAAAATTTTTTGGGGGGAAAGTCTTCATGTTTTGATTGCATTCTTTCCAGGTTTTCTCTTGACTTCTCATGTGTCTTTCTAAAATGAAAGGATAGATTAGCCACACCAATACCAAAATTCCAGTGTATTAATCACTAAAAATCACCTGTATTCACTTTTAAGAAACTAGTCTTTCTGGACTTGACAGCAGGGGAACCTGTATAGGACCAAACTTGCCCCTTTGAATGTGAGTGACAGTTGTGTGGCTTAGGCAGTCAGTGGGGCCACTGGTAGTAGGACCAGGATTTATCCCTAGTGCTTGAACCAGCTATTTGGAGCCCATTCTCTTTGGAAAGATAACTTGCTCAGCCTAGATGTAGGGAGGAGGGCCTTGGTCTTGCCTTAAAATAAAGTGCCAGAGTTCACTGGCTCCCCATGGGAAGCCTTACCCTCTCTGAGGAGTGGATGGAGGGGGGTGTAGCAGGAGGAAGGTAGGGAATGGGAACTGGGATTGGTATGTAAAATGAGAAAAGAGTGTTTTAAAAAACATAATTTTTTTTTTTAAAAAAAGAAACTAACCTATCAGGTTAACAGGTATGCCAGTTCTATCTCTGAGAAACAGTTCTATAATCTCAATGTCTTAGAAAATCCTGCTTGAATTTTGTGTACTAAACAGTCCTTTACTTCATAGTAAAGCAAGACAACCAGCTTTTCTGAAATACATCAAGATTTTGTTTTTTGAGGGTTTTTTTTGTTTGTTGTTGTTTTTCTGTTTTTTTGAGACAATGTCTCTCTATGCAGTCCCAGCTGTCCTGGACTCTCTTTACAGATCAGGTTGACTTCAAATTCACAGATATCCACCTGCCTCTGCCTCCTGAGTGCTGAGATTAAAGCCATACACCACTATGCCAGGCATCACATCTAAATTCTGTAGCCCAAAATTCATAATCTTACTTTTTCAAAAACTGTCAGCTCCTGATGACAGTGTCTAGGTGCCATCCCTCAGCGCTTGGTACATAACATATCTGTTTACTCTAAGCTTGTCACACATGTTGCACTAGTCTAGAACACCGAATTCTAGCCAGTCTAGCTCTCTATTTCCTGAGAGGCCTTTGTCCAACCACTTACAACAAAGAGTTACCTCTAGGGCTCTCAGCATAGTTTCTCTACATTACACTCAAAATGCTTCACTAAATAATTCCTTCCTGTCCAGGCTACAAATTCCCTGGCATTTGACAGCAACATACACATCTTACTTCATGGGACTGAAGCTGGGAACAGTCTGTTGACCAGACTCTCCTCTGTTCAAACTGGCAGGCACACACTACTCCTCACCTCTCACCATACCAAACACACAGGAAGGGCTCAGTATGCAGCAGTTGAACCTACAGGATGAGTCTCACAATAAAAAGCATTTTGTTAAATAGACCAGATTAATATCTATGGAAGCATTACACGAATGAGGCCACAAGGGCCTAGAATGAAAATGGTAATAAGAAACAAGCAGGGGAAAAAAATAGTAAAGGATATTTCAAAGAACTTGACAACTGGTAATGGAAGGAAAGAATGATGATAAACTCGGCCTGACAGCACAAACCTAAACACACCGTACTCAGTAGCTGAGGTAGGTAGATAGGCAAGAGCCAGGCTAGCCTGAGCTACATAGTGAGAACCTAGCTCAAAAAAAATTCTAAACTGCAGCAATGTTTAGGTGAATGTCACAGAAAGAGGTAACATTTAGGAGGGTGTGGCATGTGTACATTAATAATCACAAACTGTAAGGTTTTCTCTTCTATGGCATTCTGAATGTGGGAATAATTAATAATCTCAATAAGAATTAGGAATTGCCCTGGGAGAAGAGAAATGCAGAAAGGGGAATATGGTAGAGAAATCAATGAGTTTCAAACAAGGGAAAATCTAGAAAACATAGGGAATATTATCAGTATTTTGAGGCAGCCAAATTCTATTATCACTGGTCAGTTTTAGTAGTAGTAGCTTAAAAATATTCATTCTGTAACTGGAAAAGTGAATGTTCCAATTTAACCCGAAGTTATAAAAATGACTGTTGTTTCAAGTGGCCAAACAAAAGTGGCATTCTCTTTTTAGAGTTAAGCTGGTCTTGAATTTACTAAAGCTCAGCTGTGTTTTCCTACTTATAGGAAAAAAATGAACATTAATTGTTTCCGACTAGAGTATGAGTACTCAGAATGTTTCAAGTCAAGTTTCTTTGGGGAAATTTGTTCCCTGTTTCTTTACAGAGGAGCCGGAGTTCAGTTTCATTTACATCCGACTCATGAGTTCTCAAACTTATCAGGAACAGGCAAACAGGTATCTCAAAAAAAAAAGAAAAAAAAAAAAAGGAGGAGGAGGAGGAAGAGAAGAAGAAGGAAGAAAGAAAGAAAAAGAAGAGGAAGAAGGAAGAAGAAGAAAGGAGAAAGAAGAAAGCCCTGCTTTGATCTTCCTGCTGCAGTTTAAGAAAGTTAGAGAAGTCAGTTGTTTACTTTAGGAAGTTTTTCCTAATATCTATCAGCCCAATTATCCCTTTAATAATCTATTCCCAGGTCACATACTTTAGCCATTAGTTATTTCCTGTCACTAGTCTCCTTTGCCAATAGGTCATTAGTTATTTGAGGATAAGGATCAACTGTTTATTACACTTTACACAGCTCATTAAATAAAACACAGCATTAGAGTGATACTTGCTGTGAAATTATTATTTACCTATAATAGAGATGATTTTCTTTTCCTTCCTTTCTTTCTTCCTTCCTTCCTTTCTTTCTTTCTTTCTTTCTTTCTTTCTTTTTTTGTTTTTGTTTTTTAATACAGGGTTTCTCTGTAGCTTTGGAGCCTGTCCTGGAACTCGCTCTGTAGACCAGGCTAGAGATGATTTTCAATACCATAATATCCTTTCTTGAGGACCTGGTGAACTCTTTAGATCACGTAGAACCAAATTTGCAATACCTTTTTTTTTAATAGAAAAAAATTCTTTTAAATAATTGTTCAGTAGTAGAATGTGTACTTAGTATATATGGAATTCTAGGTTTAGTCCAGCACCACATGTACAAGCACAAATAGGTGACTTAAAAGTAAACATATACATACACACGCCCTAAACAGGTAATATAAAAATGTAATAATCATTGGGGGTGGGGAATGGGCGGTGGCACACACCTTTAATCCTAGAACTCAGGAGGTAGAGGTAAGCAGATATTTGTGAGTTTAAGGCCAGCATGGTCTACAAAGTGAGCTCTAGGACAGCAAAAACTGTCTGGGGATCTATCTATCTATCTATCTATATCTATCTATCTATCTATCTATCTATCTATCTATCTATCTAGATCTCCACTCACCGAACAGGATTAATTCCTTTTACAAAATGATACCTAATGTCTTCTGAATTTGACTCACATTCCAAATACACTGCTAAATGCCTTACATAAATTAATTCAGTGTTGAAAATTTCTACTGGTGGGTTATTATTACTCCCATTTTGCCTATAAGAAAATGAAGCTGAGAGACCATAAATATGCTGCAATTAATAGAGACAGAAATTGCTAATTGTTAGAGTTTGAACTTGTGCTCAAGCTCAAGCTGTCAATCAATACATGAAACAAATGGGCAAGGCACAGCACAGCTGAAGGACTAACCTGAACTGTGTAATAATGGGTCAGAGTTTTCTTCTAGTGGAAATCACCAAGAAAATCTATGGAGCAGTACATTGTGATCTGTAGACATTTGCATTTTAGTTATACTTCAATAAAAGATTTACATCTAAAAGCAAAAAGTACAAATTAAAACCAAATGTATGTTCAGTACAGAAGACTATAATGACAAGCCATTTATGTATTGACTAACACTACTAAAACATACATATATTCTTCACTGCATCTTATGTCTTTATCCTCCTCCTACTGATCTCAGGATTTTTTGTTTTTGCTTCTATTAAGACTTATTTTGGGGGCTGGAGAGATGGCTCAAAGGTTAAGAGCACTGACTGTTCTTCCAGAGGTCCTGAGTTCAATTCCTAGCAATCACATGGTAGCTCACAGCCATCCGTAATAAGATCTGGTGCCCTCTTCTGGCGTGCAAGCATATATGGAGGCAGAATGTTGTATACATAATAAATAAATAAATCTTAAAAAAAAGAAAGAAAGCTGGAGTGTTTGCATGTATGCTCCAGATTTAAAAAAAAAAAAAAACTTATTTTGTTTTTATTAATATGTATATGTGTCTATATGTATGTATATGTGTATGTACATGCAGGTGCCAGTGGAGGTCAAAAGATAATATTGGATGCCCTAAAACTAGAGTTATAAGTGATTGCAAACCAGAAGATGTAGGTGCTAGGAACCAAACTCTGGAATTGAACAAAAGAAGCAAGTGTTCTTATCCCCTAGCCATCTCCTCAGCCTTGGATTTAGTTTCATTTTTTAAAAACCACTATATTGCTAGTCTGTTTCTGAAGCATCACTAAATTGTGCAAAAGCAAATACATTCTTAAAAGCTCTGTTTTCAGTTTGTTGCTGTACCTTGTCAAGATTCAATTCCAAAGAAAAGCCTGTCTATTTTCTAAATTTTATTCTTTCCCTCTGGTAAGAATTCTGGTTCCTATCCTCATTACTAAATTTAACCAAATTAAACTCAACTTAATATACTTGAAAATACCTGCTCTACACATTTAATATTTAAAAATGATGATGCTTATACTCTTCACTATCCAAAATCCAGCAATTTGAAGATAAAAATATATATAGAGAATGGCTTAGTGGACAGCCTTTAACAATGCCATCATTTTAACAGATCAAGAGAGAAATGATGAGATTGTGACTACAGGGAGAAATTTTAAAAAGAATTTAAAGCAAACACCCCCAAACCAATGATCTTGCTCATCAAGGTAGATAACAAGAGAAAAAAATATCAAAATAACTCTAAGTATTTTGGTTTAAGTGACTGGGTATCTTTGATTGTCATTCAGTAATCTAGAGAATACTAAAGGGGTGATCCTAAGGCTGGGCATTAAAATGTGCACAGAGAGCCTTTGTGGCATCAGGAGAAAATCTATTAGCTGGTTAGAAGCAGGCCTGAAGCTCTAGAAGAAACCTCAGTGTAAATCCTAAGTAAACTATAAATGAAACACTACATTGGGGTAGGAAAAATATACATAGAATGGAATGGAAGAGGACCCTAGGACAAAAGAAAGAAAAAGCATATACACAATAAACTCATCACTTACCTCTTTTAACCTTGCTATCCTTGTAGGTCTCTCTTTTTTAATCAATAAGTCTATTTTTCCTTACAATGATCCCACTCCTTGACTCCTATATAGTCACCACATAGCACAATAAGTAAAGTGTGGACTCTGGAATTCAATTTCCAAGGCTAAAATTCTGCTCAGCCATTTACTAGCTATATGGCCATGGGTGAATTCCTTATCCAGTCTGTTTCAGCTTTCTGGTCAACCAAAAATAAATTATGAGATTGCAATGGGAAATTAAATAAGCTCATCATCAAAGATTATTTAATTGCTTAATATCATAAATGTCCTGTCTGCATGTATGTGCACAACTTGCATGGTATCTGTGGAGGTCAGAAAAAGGTATCAGATTCCTGGAACTGCAGTTATGGGGGGATGTGAGGCATGTCGGTCCTGAGAAATGAACCAGCCATAATAGGCGCCATATCTCCAGCCTATTAGTTTATTTTCAAAATAGCTTAGAATGGTGTCTGTTATGTGCTTTTTCAACGTGTTAAGTAAATAAACAAATAAGGTCTGTCAATCTTTTTGTGAAATCCTTCATGTTTTTCTCATTTAATGTCAAACCAACTGAGTTCTCTGATATTTTATATTTAATTACCTCATCTACTAAAATTGTTACCTCCTTTCTTTCTTTCTTATTCCCCAGTAGCTGAGCATGATTTAATGGACTTTCTTTAAAATTCTCTCCTGATATATGGGGCACCACAGTTGTGTCCACCTTGTATTCTTGGGGTTTCTTTTCTACCTCTCTTACTGTGGACTCTAATTTGCTTTTCTGCATCATTAATGTAACTATCATCCTTCAAATCATCATTTTTCAGTACTCTCTCCTTGATGCCAACTCTTCTCATGGCATCTGCCCACATGCCAAAATTCAAATGTCTTACATTTGTGTTCCTAACTCTTAAGCTGGACAGCTCTATGTGACATGAATTCAACATAAATAAAAACTGAATTTGTATTTCCCACTGGCCCTTATAGTTTTATTTCTGATTATGGCATCACTATTTTCAAATGTCAACTGACTAAGACTTGGTTTGTTTCTCCTTCAATCTATGAGACATTAACACCTTCTTTTCTTGTAAGAATACCGAAAACTCTATTTTTAATTTAATTTCATCTTACCAGGATAATATCAATACTTTTTCAAAATAATCTCCAATCGAAGTGCCTACATTTTAGCTTAGAGAGCCCAGATTCAGCTATCTATTCTATCTGACTTCCCAGAAAACAAAATGACTTTCTGCAGTGCAAACCTGACAGTAACAGTTTCCTGCCAAGGGAGCTTCAAAAAGATAACCCATCTCCTTTAGGATTAATTAAACCTTTCACTATCTGGACTTCACTTGACTTATTCACTTCAGAATGCTCACAACGTCCCCCTCTCCTACTCCTTCTTCACGCACACACAGTCTGTTACTTCTCAGTAGTAGTACAACTCTTCCTTTTGCCGGAAAGGTACTTCCACGAAGTAGAACTTAGAGGCCACTCTTTCTACAGGCTTCCCAGCAACCGTCCCTGGAGCAGCTGATCTAAGTAATTGCATAACCCGACCCCGAGCATCAATTTGTTCATATATTGCTTCCAAACTTGACCATGAACACTAGATATGTGATGAACCTTCGAGTGCTTGGCGTAGTGCCAGTAATACAAAAGGTGCCGTGGCCGGCAGCCGAGCAGGGATAAAACCCATCAAAACCTGGCACTTACAGTGGTCTCGAGGTCCGCACTGAAGGCCTTGCCTTGGCTAGCTCCCGCCGTTCACTTTCCTACCGGCCTCAACTCCAGCACTTTTGACAAAATGCCAGAGTCCGGCGTCCTGGCCAGCCACAGGGCCCTAGGTGGATGCTCCCAGGAGGCGGTCCCTGGGGCATCCTGAGACTCCCCGCTGCAGATTTGCAAGGGGAAGAGGTTGGGTGCAGCATGGGCCAGACCGATGGCTCAAGTCCCCCGGGGCCTAGACTAGGTCCTCGGCTCCCATCCCAGGGCTGGTCGTAGCCGATCCAGATCCCCACGGGGGCTCCATTTCCAGAGACCCCGTAAACCAGCCCGGCTCTCCGGTCACCTCCTAACTTACAGACCCGGGGGGAAAGCCGCCATCTGGATCTGGTACCGCCAGGAACTCCGGCCCCTCGGGGCTCCGGGAAGGGGGAGGGGCAGGCAACCTGAGCCAAAGGGGGACCCAACGGAACCGGAAGGGCAGCCCTGGCCGGACAAAGACAACTTCCAGGTCCCATGGTCATCTCCGCCAATCGGAGTGTTCGGGGGACGACGGGCCCCCGAGAGGGACTTTCCGCGTTGTGGGCGGGGCGCGGGCCGAGGCTGGGGAGCATCTGGTGGATACGCTCGGCGACTGCGGTTCTCCTGGTTCTTCCTTGGGCGGTGGGCCCCAGCCCTGCTCTCAGCCGCTGCCAGCACGCAGGGCTCCCGCCGTCCGCTGCTTGGATGGGCCTGAATACCTTCTCTGCGCGAAAGCCGTGGTAAGTCCCTCCCGCCCAGGGATGTGGACTCGCCGCGTGGGAGCCGGGAACGCGGGAAGCTGCGGGTTCCCTTCCCTGTGGATGTCGGTGTTTCTTAGGGGATCTTCCTAGGTCAATCCCTTGCTTTCCAAGCTCCGGTTACCCTGGAGGTTCGCAGATCTCCAGAGCCAACCACCCAGACAAGTTTCCTGTTGATTGTCCAGTGTTTAGTGTACATTTTAAATCAGGTTCATGCCCAGGCCTACCCAGCTATAGTTTTTGGTTAGTGAAAGGAATCATCCACGTATTCTTCCCGATGAGAAAATTTGAATATCTTTGTTAATTCCCTTTGCTTTGCCAATCTACTTGTTTGTTGCGTTGTCTCCATTTATTTTATTTACCCTTTGGGGTTGCGTTATTATGTAACACATACAGAATAATTATTTTAATCATTTGCCAGCCTACAGTTAAGTGACTCTTGTACAATGTTGTGTAACCACTACTAGCTATTTCTGCTTTACCTCCCTTTATCCTTTTGTGGATATCCATGTTACATTACATGTTTAAAAACATGTTAAAAACCTTTCGCTCATTGAGTGGACTTGTTGAAAATCAATTAGCTTATGAGGTTTTTGTTGTTGTTGTTGTTTTATTTTTGTTTGTTTGTTTTTGGGGGAATTCGAAACAGGGTTTCTCTGTAGCTTTGGAGCCTCTCCTGGCACTCGCTCTGTAGACCAGGCTGGCCTCGAACTCAAGAGATTGGCCTGGGATTAAAGGTATGCACCAACGCCCAGAAGCTTAGGAGTTTTTTTACGGGGCTGTCTACAGTACGGTGATCTATGTTTATCCATATGCTAGTACCATACTGCTTTAATTACTGTGACTCTGCAGGCAATGTTTTACATTTATTAAGTGTGTCCTCCATCTTTATTCAGAAATGTTCTGTTCTTCAAGATATTTGGCAGTTCCATTTGAATTTGGTACCAGGAATTGAACCTAGGGCTTACTTGACACCACACAAATACTGTACGACTGAGCTATATCTCCAGTCTATTTTCTTTTCTTTCTTTTTCTTTTTTTTTTTTTTTTTTTTTGGTTTTTCGAGACAGGGTTTCTCTGTGGCTTTGGAGGCTGTCCTGGAACTAGCTCTTGTAGACCAGGCTGGTCTCGAACTCACAGAGATCCGCCTGCCTCTGCCTCCCGAGTGCTGGGATTAAAGGCGTGCACCACCTATGCCTGGCTCCAGTCTATTTTCATATTGATTTGAAAATTGACTACCATTTCTTGGAAAACGGCTTTGGAAATGGGATTTTATGGAATCTATAGGTTGCTTTGAATAGTATTAAAATTTTTGTGTCTTCCTGTCCAAAAACTGAAGATGCCTCTTTAAGTCTTTATTAATTGCTTTTAGCAATGCTTTTTAGTTTTCGGCATTCAAGACAGGGTTTCTCTGTGTAGGCTGGCCTCGAACTCACAAGAGATACACCTGCCCCCCTCCCAATTGCTGGGATCAAAGGTTCGGGCCACCATGGCCCAGGCTTCATTCATGAATTTTTATTGGAATTGCTTCCTTAATTTTCATTTCCTAGTGCTTATTTCTAGTGACCAAAAATAATTTTAAAAAACACTGATTTTTTTTTTCTTGTGTTGGTGTAACCCTTGCAATTCACTTATTAATTCTGGTAGTTCTGAGCTCTTTTAATTTTCTGCTATCGGTTGGTGTAGTCTATGAACAAAGATCATTTTACTTCTTTTCCAACAGTATGCTTTTTCTTTTTATTGTCTAATAGCTCTAGCAATTAGTACAATGTTGAACAGGAGTAGTAACAGTAAAGTAAAAGTGAACATTCTTGCTTTTTATTCCTGATGTTACGAGGAAAAATATTTTTTGGCCTTAAATTATTGAGTATGTATTCACTATGAGTTTTTCATAAACACCTTTACCATGTTGAAGAATTTTCTGCCCATTCCTAACTCTCATAGGCATGCTACCATGAACAGATGCTTTCTCTGCATCAGTTGAGATGATCGTGTGCCTTATTCCTTTCTTGTATCAAAGTATTCCATAGATTGATTTTGTTGAACTGCCTTGCATCTGTGAAGTAGACTGAGTCCTACTTGGTCATGGTGAAATTCTTTTTATATGTTTTTGGACTTAATAAGTTTATGTTTTGTTGATTATTTTATATCTAGTATTCAGTGACAATGATCTATATTTTTATTTATCTAGAGTGCATTTGTCTGATTTTGGTATCAGTAAATGCTGGCTGCATAGAATGTATTCGGAAGCATTCATTCCTCAAATTTTTGCAGAAGTTTCAGAAATAAAAGAAAGAAAAACTCTGTTAATTCTTTCTTTAGACATTTAGTAGAGCCAGACAGTGGTGGCACATGTCTTTAATCCCAGCACTTGGGAGGCAGAGGCAGGTAGATTTCTGTGTGTTTGAGGCCATCCTGTTTTACAGGACAGCCAGGGCTATCACTCAAAAAAACCCTGTCTCGGAGGAAAAAAGCAAAACAAAAACATGAAATATTTAATAGAATTCATTGATAACACTATATGCTGTGAGACTTTCCTTTTTGGGAAATTTTGATTGATAAATCAATCTCCTTACTTAGTATAGGGTTATTGAGGTTTGCTCTTGAACCAGTTTAGGTCATTTATTTATTTCAAGGGATCTGTCCTTTTCTTGTTTGCTCTCTAATTTTTGATGTATAGTTATTGCAATAATGTCATTAAAAAAACTCCATAATGTTTATAGTAATATATCCCTGGTTTCATTTCTTATTAAAGTTATTTATACATTGTCTCTTTTCTAATTAGTCTGGCTAAGTGTCAATTTTGTTGGTTTTTTTCAGAATTTTTATTGATTTTTCTCTTGCTTTTTTCAAGTACTTTTATTTCTTGTTTAATCCTTACCTTAAAAAAAATTTTTGTGTTAGCTTTGTTTCTTTGTTTTGTTTGGGTCTCCTATATAATCTTGAGTGCCCTAGAACTCCCTTTGTAAATCCGACTGTCCTCAAACCCACAGAGGTCCACCTCTGCCTTCCAAGTGCTGGGGTTTAAAGACCAACCATGACTAGCTTACTTTGCACTTTTTTTTATGTCTTTTTTGTAGATCTTTGTAGTGTAAAGTTTAGGTTTTTGATCTGAGTGTTTTGTTATTGTTGGTGTGTTTCTTTTGTTGTGTTTTTGAATTTTGAAATTGGGTCTATCTCAGACTGGCATTGATCTCATTGTTTAACCAGAGATTGGCCCTGAGTTTGTTATCCTCTGACTTTCAAGTACTGGGATTACAAGTATGCATCATCTACTCTACCTTATCTACCTCTGAGGTCTCTCTTTTTTTTTAATGTAAACTTAGAACTGAATTTCCCTCTGATGATTGTTATAACTACAGCTCATAAAACTTAGTATGTATGTTATGTAGGTTTATTTTTAAGCATTTTGTAATTCTCTTTGGCTTTCTTTTCTCACCCATTGTTTTGTATCTACGTGTTTGTAAAGTTTCTAGTTTTCCTCTTCCTGTTGATTTCTAATTTCATCCTATTAGGTTGGAGGAAGTTCCTCTGTGTGGACTTGTAAAATCCATTGGGGCTTGTTTTGTGGTCTAACATGTTGTCTCTCCTGGTGACTCTTGCATATACATTTGAGAAGAATGTGTATTTTGTGGTTAGTGTGTGAAATGGTCCATGCATGTACATGTATGTTAACTCAAGTTGTTTTTTGTGATGTTCAGTACCTATCCCCCTCCCCCACTTTTCTTACATACGGCTATTCTACCTACTGTTGTTGAACTTGTTCTATTGTGGTTGTTTGTATTCTCTCTCTCTCTCTCTCTCTCTCTCTCTCTCTCTCTCTCTTTTTTTTTTGAGGCAGGGTCTCACTGTGTAGCTCTGTCTGTCCTGAAAGTCACTCTGCAGACTAGGCTGGCCTTGAATTTTCATATCTGCCTGCATCTACTGGGATTAAAGGTGAGCATGATGCTTGGCAGAAAAACTTGTTTTGACTCATGGTTTCAGAGTTTTCAGTACATCCTGGTCTCAAGGTTGTCATAGAGCAGAAAAAGAATGCTTGAGCTTTTTTCTTCTTTTATCTTCCACCTCCCACCCACAATGTTGGGGGTTAAACCCAGGGCCTTATATATGCCCTTGGTTGTTTCTTTTGATCATTGGGATGTAAGCACAGGCTAGCTACCATTGTTTGACTGTATTTTGACACAGTTTTTAAGGGTTTTAAGGGAATAGCATCTGTATTGTTTCTCTTTCACTATTTAGAATCATAGATTAGGACATTCAAAAGCAACTGTTTATGTGGAGCAAAGTAGATCAGGCTCACAGAAGAGCCAGGAAAAAAAAATTAAAACCAAGCTGGAGAGATGGCACAGTAGTTAAGAGCACTAGCTACTCTTCCAAAAGACCTGGGTTCAATTACCAACATAGCATCTTACAGCCATCTGTAGCTCTAGTTCCAGGGTGCCTGATACCTTCTTCTAGCCTCTGAGTACCACTAGGCACACATGTGGTACACAGGCATACATGCTGGCAAAACACCCATATACATAAAAATAAAACAAAAATTAAAACCCCATCAAAGAGGGATGAAGGAGATCTTGATTTCTGCAATCACCACATGTGATTCAAATGTCTTAATTTTCAGTAAGTTCAAAAATCACAAAGCAGGGCTGGAGAGATGGTTCA